GCGGACGATTGGCAATGTGATCTTTCCACAGTCAACAGTCTAATCCTTGCTATCGCTGAAGTGTTTTGGCCACATTCCGTCTCGTCAAGACTATCTAAACATGTGCCGATCCATCAGAGCTCCCCATCTCACGCAGTATCTTCGAGCGTGGGAAAATCTTCTGCGACAAAATCCACATCGGAATCGGATGGGCCTCATGAGTCTTCCCCCTCCGCAGAGGATGCTAATTTAGTGAGTACAACTACTTCGGAAGGTGTCGAAGCAGAGAGTGAGAAGCCAGCGTCAACTGCAGAAACTCGTTCTGCTTCTCCAAGTAACCCTCTTCCTGAGCCGGAACAGGTTGAGAACACAAGCGACGCGACTCCTTCATCCACGAATGAAGTGCCCTCCTCGAATGGCTCTATTCACCCAGACATTGGCGGAACACATGCCGAGAACGACCCGTGTAAGTTCCGTTGCTTCTCTTTGTGCCTGGTCGTTTTGTTTAACTACGTCTCTTAACTCTGCATTACCGGTCTGCGCTTCATGTACGTAGTTGTTTCCGTCGCTGTTCTCATCATCGTCCTCGTTGTTGATGTTGATGACAATGTTTTTGTTGCAGAATCAGGTTCTGCTCGTCAAATGAAAGGAGCTGCTATTCGGAGACAGAAAATTAGCCGCCGGATCCCATTTACTTTGCAACTGCACCGTGTCAGAAAGCATTAAGGGAATAACTTGGCAACTGTCAATCTAATGCCTCCCATTTACATTCATTGCTGTCGGATATAATAGTCAGACCAAACATTATATATATATACATATATATATATATTATATAATATATATATATATATGCGAAGACATATAAGGTTCGGGATGTCCCTCGCTCTGCAAGACTAAGTTCCGTCGGCCAGAGACATTTTAATCACTTGATCTTCCACGCGCCTGAATCCAGTAATCCAACTCTCCGGATATACTACGATCACAGCTTCCAGTTTTTACCGAGTCCTTTGAACAGATTCCTCGATATGAGTGATGGCGGCTTGAAAGTGAGGCAAATATCCCTTTTGATAATAGTGGTGATCAACAAAGTCGGTCTATCAGGGTCAACTTTGTAGACTAATCCGGTCCACGGCTATTCTTGTCCCACTAGAGTAGGCTGCGAGGTTCCATGATCAATGTTCGCCCCGACCTAGATCCTCCGGACCTGGAACGACTGAAGTCTGCCATCATCGAGCTGAAAAAGCGTTTGGTGATGGGGAAACAATTCTTCGTTTCGTACATTTTCAAGTGGTTTCCAAGATTCCCCGAACCAAAATAAACAGTTTGCTCACACTTCCGACCCCCTCCCCGTTAGTTTCTGTCGCGGCCTACGTGTTACGTTTGCCAACGTCTGCTCGATTTTGCAGCTAACTGCTTTAAGTGAGGTTCCTCTATTAATTCTCTTGATGCGGGTTTTTAGGTTTCCCCACCTAGTGAAAACTGATCGATTTGAATGGGTACGCAGTTGTTATTACCTTACCGTTTGACAATCGTGTGGCTGCACAAGGAACCCTTGATAAACTCTTTGGATTGGCCCTATCTATTGACGTTCTCATTTGTGCCTTCAAAGTGTGCAGGACCGTCAGTCCGCTGCTAGTTCTGTGCGTCGTGACGGCGAAGAGCTGTAGGTATTTGGTTAGTCCGTCTATCTTGGCATCAATACTGGCAGTGCTGAGTGTATGGCTACTGACATTAGTTCACACATTAATAGAACTGGAACTGCTTTCACAGTTCCGCAACGCCTTTCTCATCAAAAAGGAATCATCACCCTTGATCTTTAAGCCTGTGTCCTTTTCCACTACGTGGTTGCAATTTTCCCCTTTGACATGGGCGGTCATCAGATTTACATATCTCTGGTCACCGTTGCCCATGGAGCATTGGCTATATCGGGTGGCACCAGCGTGTCAACAGCGATAAGATGCACAGACTAATGCTAGGCGGCAATGAGGATTCTACTTCGTTAAACCAATGTATTGGACTAATGGAGTTGGTCCGGACACGTGCCACACCTACCCTATTACCGTGCTCATTTCTTCTTTGTCCACCTGATATCGAAAGACATTCGGTTCCAGGTGGGGAATGAAGTCACAATTTGCTAAGCTGGGTGCTACTGTTGCTTCTCGCTTTTCAAGTTGCACTCCGTGTGACGGTCTTCTCATTGTGTCCAGACATCACAGTGGTTCCAAACCAGAGCCAATGTCACGTTTGCTTATTTCATCCGTCTTGAATGCTGTCTTAATGTGGGCTTGGTGCCAGATTATCTATTAACATATGTCAGTTATATCACCAGTCGGTAAAGGCACCACAAGAGCTTCCTAACATGGTTATCGTTTTCGCACGATGATCAGCTGTTTGTGACTGCCCATAATTCCAAGCCACTCCCTAATGTTGCTTACACTGTTTGGGTTCTACGTTGCCCCCTTTACCCTTATCAGTGCTACCTCTCTTGGTTTCCAATTTCCATGGGAGCGAAATGCCAATATAATATAATGATATCCTCTGTTAATGGTTACTGTGATGGTGAAGTCGAAGATGGTGGTGGTTATGACCCTAGGAATCTTTGCCCAACTTTAACAACTGTTAACCGGGACCTTTCTGGGTATGCAACTGCCATGACTTGCAAAGCAGTTCGGATGTTCAGAACATTTTCCTACCCACGTCATGCCGTCTCGAGGAACGCTGCTGTTCACCGCCGAAAGCAACGCGACTTTAACTCACAAGAGCGCATACACTGATTCGTGCCACTTACTCCAGCCATTCACAAGCTCGCCAACCGTATTCACTGATGGATTGGTCGATCTACGCCCATAGTTGGCCAGACATTGGAGGTCTCTAGGAGGCACTCGCCCTGATCTACCCTGCCACTACCGTGACTGTGTTGCCCATAGACTTTCGCATCCCTGTTCCATACCAGCACTCTATGTCACCGCAATATTTTTACATGGGAAGTCGTCTAATTGACGGGACTAACTCCGACTTCTTTTCTTAGGAACACACAGCTTCTACAAATAAACGTCATATATTGGCCCCTCCGCTAGTCGATCTCGCGATGATCGTTGAATCCCGTTGAACACTAAATACTAAATACCCCATCGAAATAGTATCGTGCACGCACGTGGAATAACGTCATTTCTTACCGCGCACCTTCAACGCAGTTCGGCTATGCGACAAAATCTCAAACAGGTGCGATGTGTTCTCCAAGTGCTCGGTACTGAAGCCGATTCTAAAGGGCGGTGACCCAAGTAGGGTGGATACTTACAGGCAGTGAACCTACGGACAGCGATCTGTTGAACAGATCAGTCACGGAGAGTGAGATGATGGCCGACAACGACTTAGAAATCAACAGGTGGAGTCCATCGGGACCGGCAAGCTTTGTGCCTTCAAGACTGGCAAGTAGATTGCGGGCATCTTCCACATCGCAATTCATACCTTGAAGTTCAGCGATTGCTGCACACATCGAGCTTGTTGTAGACGCTTGCCAACTTGTGCATACTTAAGTGAAGTGTGTCGCCAAGGCGGACGCAGACACACGGTCAGTGCTGGAAGTTAGGGGCTATCCGTCAGAGCCCTTCTATGTCATCTGTATGTCGCTGGCGTCGCTTCACATAAGCGAAAATTCGCTTGGGGGCCGTTTTCGCTGCGGTTGCAAGCTCCTTCGAACTGTCGACGCTTCTCCACTTTTGCACTGTTGCATGGATTCCGTTGGCCTTTGTACACCTCGTACTCGGCAGAGCCAGACATGGGGAGCTTGTTCCACAATACTTGTCGCAGTCGAGCCAACTGGCCATACTTTATGACGAACCAGTGTGGCTTCACCAGCCCAGTTCTCTGATACTTGCAGGGTACCAATCCCGCGCACAGTGATTTCATGCCCTCTTTTATCACAGACCAACAGGCTCCAAGAGATTAATCCTGCAGCAGCAGACTAGCGTCTCTAGTGCGACCATCGAAGTGAGTCTTCCAGTAGTTGTAGGATTTTTCCAGCGGGCGCGAGTATGGCGGCAAAGATTCTAAGCTTGCTACGACCATTGAGTGGTCACTCGCTGTCACTGACTCCGTCACCTGAACATGCACACGCTGTTCGCAGCTAGTCAACATCCGATCCAAACTACGGATCTGAATGAGTTGTAATGCGCTTCGGCTTGCAGATGCTACAATCTCAAATATCATCTCGGTAAACTTTGTCTCCACTTCACAATGTCCAGGCAAAAGTTGAACCTCCAACCAGATTATTCGAGAGAAGTTACATTCACCCATGAGCAGGGTGCTGGACCGACTCATGTGGTTTCGGGGGTGCGGCAACCAATCTAAACACCTACTTCGCAAACTGTGATAGGCTACACCCACGAACAGTACACCACGCCTCAGGTTGATCAAGCATTGCTATTGCTCTCACATGCCATTTACAATTCGGTATATGGTTATCAGTCTCCCGCACAACGACAACCGAGTGTATAGCAGTTTATCATCGCCGTCGTTTGATAGTCGGTCGCACCAGAAGCACGAGTAGTCCCTGACCTGGATTTCTTGAGCAGCTACCTCAGGATTCAGCCAGATCTCAGCCAGTCATAGTACGTCCAGACGACGTGAGGCAATGAAGAGCACACCTCGTCACATTTGTTCACTAAACTGCAAACATTAGCGAAAAGTACGCATAGGCCACAGTAGGAACCGCAAGCCGTGCATGAGGCGTCATCGACCAGTGGATTCGGGTTTAGCGAACCCGGGTAACTACCCTACAATGTGCGATGTGGTAACTAGTTTCTCCACTATCAGTAGGCTGCCGTAACTCAACGATAGCGCACTTGAGTTTCTCCCTCTATGACGGATCTGTATCTGAGTGTGTAAGGATTTTCTGACCTTTCAGATTGCCTAGGTAGGATAGTCTTAGCTTCGGACTCGCTTGATCAACGATAGTGACTGGCAAAGCCGCGTCTTCTGATCTTTCTTTCCAAGACGGTTGATTTGCTTTACTATCAACCCCTGTTCACCTATGTCGAGGAGTTTGTCAATCACACTGCAGAAACTCGACGTCGTGATTATAACTAGCCTGTACATTATCATCAGTTAACTCAGACGCGTGTAATATGATGAGGTTGCAATGCCACTGGTCATTGGCAATTGCTCTCTCTTTCTTCCTTTGTTGCACCTTCCAGTGGCCTTCATCGCTTGCTCCATCGCACAGCGGGATGTTTGTGTCCCTAGGACACAACACAGCCACACCAGCTGAGCCTCCAATAATGGATGGACATCTTTCCGGAGAGCTAGTGGCCGGTGGGCAGGTGGCCTCGTTCGAACACAGGGGTGGCTGCGTTTCCGATTGTTGGGATTCACCCACAGAACTCCTCGCCATGGAACATTTCACCCTCCTTGTTGGCTCCTTAGGTTTCTCGATTGCTCCCGATTGCACTTTAGTCTGACACT